GTTAATAAGATAGCAAAATGGATGTCGGAAAATCATCTAACACTAAATTTGAAGAAAGGAAAAACTGAATTTCTCCTGTTTGGGACCGCCAAAAGACTGGGTAAAGAATCTTCCTCTCCTATCAACATCAAGATCAACGGTGAACATCTTAATCAAACAACGCAATACAAGTATTTGGGTGTACTACTTGACCACCATCTTACTCTCCACGAACAAGTTCGTACTGTGTATCACAAAACCTCTACAAGACTAAAGTTACTCAAACGAGTAAGGCACAATTTAACCACCTATGCAGCTGAGCGAGTCTATCTAAATATGATCCAACCAATTATTACATATTGTCCAGCAGTGTATCTTGGTTTGCCAACGTATTTGAAAGAAAAACTTCAATCAGTCCAGGATCGGGGGAAAAAAAATTGTGCTTTCGAAACAGACTGATGTTGAGTGGAAATCGATCTCGGAAATAATCAACCAAAAGACACTTTTGGATGTTCATAAAGCGATTCAACGAGCCTCTCCTCCCGTGTTACATGAGTTCTTCACATTTCTCAATCATGGGAAGAACACTCGAGGGGATGGTTGCTCCCTCATTGTCCCACGAATTAAAACTGAAGCAGGCAGAAAGACGTTTAAGTTCCAAGGATGCAAACTATTTAATGAACTACCTAAAGAAATGAAAACTGAAAAATCAATCGTTAGATTCAAAGGAAAATTAAAATCCTTATAAACTGGACGTTTTTAAAGTAAACTCCTCTTAGTCAGTAGTTTTTATCTATTTTAGCCTAGATCTCTTTTAACTTTTTAGAAAATATCATAATTGATTAATGTAGATAGATACAGGTCCTTGTAGGATAACAGCATTTATTGTAATAGCTGAACAAGTTAACCTGTATAAAGATGATTAATAATAATAATAATAATAATAATAATAATAACTCGCTCAGCTGATCTTCTCAACATGCTTTCTTGGGATACACTTGAAAATAGGCGGTCTGGTGCCAAGTCAGTATTAATGTATAAAATACTTAACGACCACACTGCGCCAGGTTTCCGGGGGTCATTCGTGAGAAGAGAAATAGATCAAACTAATTATCATCTTCGAAACACAGCAACTGATCTAACAATTCCTAAACCGAAACGAGAATTTCTTAAAAAAAGTTTTAAATATAGCGGCGCTATGCTCTGGAATCAACTCCCAAACGAAGCAAAATTGGCCAAGTCGCCTCATTCGTTTAAATCAATTGTTGGACAGCGACATGCTTCCTAATTATTTGTATATAGTAACCTGTACAGTATGTGTGTACTAATATTTAGTTTAAATTTAAAGATCTAAACACGCCCCCCATGGAAACCAGCCTAGAGTTGATGGGGCTAGCGTGTTCTTCTTTCTGTTAATTTTAAATAAAGTATTACCTACCTACCTACCTACCTAGAGACTTTTTTGCCTTTTGGGACTTAGGAGTTTTCACAGATCTACGAGAATTTTTAGAGCAATTCACCCGTAAATACAAAGCAAAGGTGTATTGCTCAACTCGCACCGCAATTTACACAAGCGGACATAGACTATATAACTATGATATAACACAACGAAAAACATATATAACTAGATTAGTCAGTAATCTAGAGATAAAAATAGCAATTGGATTCAAGATATTATATACTTATAGCTATAGCATAGATTAAGGAATGAATAGATGGCTCACTCCTTTGATGTTTTTGACGCTGCCGGCGCCCACGCATGTTCTTGCCAGAGTAATGGCGGCCTAGCAAGTAACTGTAGTAAAATGCATTGTAAAATTGACATCCGTGCTATTAAATCCTGTATTTTTCCGCTTTTGGCGGGTTTAATAGAAAGATAA